TTCGGCATGAGTTCGATTCCCGCCTGCCCCAGAGGAGATACACATGGTGCCGCAGACCTCTCCTGACCGGCCTGCTGCTCCCCTCAGCAGTGTACTTCGTCAATCTGCCTGTTCTGCTCCCTGCTCTGTCTCTGGTGAATCCTTTCACCCTCTGCATCTCTGGCCTGTACCCCAGTTTTGTATGAATAAAAAAAAAAAGATTTAATTATGCAAGCAGATTGGGGTACAGGCCAGAGATGCAAGGGTGAGAGGATTCACCAGAGACACAGTGGGGAACAGAACAGGCAGATCAACTGAAATACACTGCTGAGGGGAGCAGCAGGTGAGGCAGAAGGGGTCTGCTGCGCCATGTGGGTTAATTCCCTAGCTGGGGATCGAACTTGTATTACTTAGATATCTTACTTTTTTGTTTTTGTTTTATGTGCCAATCCTTCTTGGGACTTCAGTTCTTGCACATGTTTTTAAGAGGTACTTAATTTGTGAAAATGAGTAAACCATGTAGATTCTTGCTACATAAAGTAGCAAACAAGTATTTGTGATACTAGTAAAAAGCGAAGTATACTTTTCACCCAGAGGCTTTCAAACTATTTTAAGAATGTAATTCTTCAGATAATGTCATTGGTATGTTCCTTTATCTTCCTCTAAAAATACCTGTAAAGAATCCCAGCCCTGAAAATGTTGGTAATATTAGTGAAGGTTTTTCATTTAAAGAAAAATCCTAGGATTTTTCTTGGGAAAGCATATAAAACATTCCACTGCAGATCTAGGAGTGTTTTAAGAAAATGAAGCCATGCCAGAAAGAGCTGTGTAGATCTGTTGAAGGAGTTGGAACATTTCAGTATTGTCTAAAAGAGAATGGGGAAGAAAGTATTTAGATTGTGAGAGTGTGTGACAGGAATTGAGTCACATGTGGAGTTTTCAGGAGTCCTGTAATGTAAGGTAAGCCAAGAAGTCTTCAAGGTGTGGTCCAGAAATTACTCAAGAACTATGACATTATTTATGTGTTCAGTGAGCAAATATTTGTGGGGCGAGAACTGAGTGCCAAGAACTTTGGTGACCATGGACAACGTAGATTCTTGGCCAAAAGTCAAGAAGCTATTACTTGATCTTAAAGAAAATGTAGCACTGAAAGACACTATTAGTTCAGTAGTTACAGGTGTGGGGAGTTTTTTTATTTACTTATTTATTTATGCATATAAGAACTGGGGGACAGGTCAGAGGTACGGGAACGGGGTTGAGAGGACTCAGCAGAGACACAGTGGGGAGCAGAACAGGCAGATGTACTGAAATACACTGCTGAGGGGAGACAGGAGAGGTTGACAGCGTCATGTGGGTCACCTCCCCGGCTGGGGATCGAACTCTTGCTGCAATGGTCGCCAATAGCTTCATAGTGCTGCTTTAAACCCGTGCGCCACCAGGGAGGGCCCATGTATGAGGAATATAAAGGGAAAACCTAAGTGAAAGGGAAGACTTCTCTGAGAAAGTAACATTTTAGTTCAGATTTGAAGAATGAAAGCAAAAAAAAAAAAGAGCAAAAGTTAGCAGCATTGTTTCAGGCAAGAGACTTGTATGCATAAGACCAGAGAATAGGGAATCTGGGAGAGTAGTATGGCATAACGAGCAGTTTTTCAACTGCTTCAAGGAATAGAAACTACAGTGCATCAGTGGCTTAAACAATCAAGCCTCTTGTATGAAAGTCAAGGTAGAATGTCCAGGCAGTTAGAATTTTCAGAGGCCTGTTTCTGTCCATCTTGTGCTGTCCTGTGGTATCCTCTTCCACAGGAGTCACTTAACCCAGTGACTCCTTCAGCTGTCTTTTTTCACATTCTAACCAGCAGGAAAGGAGAAGGGGAAGGAGAGAGCCATAGCCTTTCACTTTTAGGGTATAGTTCACATCACATTAGCTCAAACCTAGTCACATGGTCACACTTAGCTGCAAAGGAAGCGGGGAAAGATTTTGATTCGGTGCCCATATATTCTCCCAAAAATCAGGATATAATTGCTGAGGAAGAGGAGAGCAGATATATTAGTTACAGTAAGCAAATTTTGACTCACATAGGTCACATGTGGTTTGTAGTCTTTGGCTTACTGCAAAAACTTATATTCTCAATGCCATTCTCATGGGGCAAGAATTAGGTTTTCCAAAATATACATCAAAAAAATCTTTGAAGAACCATTTTTTGGACTCCTTTAAGCCCCTGTAGATCCTAAAATTGAAAGGCAAATACTGTCCTGTGACTTTTATATTTATAGTTTTATATTTATAGTTCTATAAATCATAGAATGCAGGGGGAGACTAAGGTTAGAGAAGCAGTCAGGGTCCAGACCATGAGAGTCCTTTGCAGCCTTATTGAATAGAATTTTGGAAAAAGTGGGCTTGTAAGCAAAGTGCCTAAGGGTTGTTGCTGCCTGTGACAAGCCGTTGGAGAAGGGCCAAAGTGGACCCAAGCAGATCATTTAGTAGGTTATTGTAAAAATCTAGCTAACGACTGGGTGGCTTGGGCTAGGATGTGAGGGTTGTTGCTGCCTGTGGCGAGCCGGTTGGAGAAGGGCCAAAGTGGACCCACACAGATCATTTAGTAGGTTATTGTGAAAGTCCAGCTAAGCGATTGGGTGACTCAGGTTAGGATAGTGACAACTAAATGGCACAAAGTGGACAACTTTGAGAGCTTTTTAGGAAGTAGGATAAGAAGTTCTTGTGGTTCAGATGTGGGTAAGGGAATAGAAGGTAAAAGGAATTGAGAATGATTCTGACATTACTGACTTGAGCAATTAGAGAGAGATGATGGTACTGTTTATTGAGAAAGAAAACATCTTTGGGCTCAAGAGAAGTTTTGGAGAGGGGAGATGAGTTCACTTTGTTGGGTTTAAGGTGTCTATGAAACAACTAAGTGGAGATACTTCTCAGATGCTTATGAGTCTGAAGCTTTCAGAAGACTTCATAAGACACGGATCATCATCTGGTTACATGTTGGGTTTTTATGAGAAAATAGTCAATTCTGTCCTGTTACTCTGATGAGGATTTTTTTCCCTTTCACTGACCAAGATGTATAGTTGTATATGGGACTATAAAGCTGTGAATAGTTTTACCTTCCTATTATAAAACACAAGATCAGTAATCACATATGTAGTAAAATAAATGTTACAGAGTCATACATACTGCAATAAGAACTGGTGATATACAAAACGTTGTCAGTTCTTTTTTTTTTTTTTTAAATCCCTAGGATAAT